AGAGAGAGAGGGAGAGTACTATATATAGCATAATCATACTATACGAAAAATTTGAAGTGCGCATGTGGAAGACAGTGTTGAATTTTTGCGTAACATCCTCTTTTTTGTGGCTGTGTTTCAGATTATTATTTCAAAATAAACATTCAATCTTATTATTCGTCATGGCACCGAAAAAGTCTCAGAGACGTAAAAAACAAGGGATTGAAACAAAAAAACGCACGAAACTACGTCAAAAATCTGATGAATCCGATTACAGTCTCCGATCTGCTTCAACGAAACAACTGATTACAAATTTATTGATTAAAGATGATACGGACAAGACATATTATCTGATTGATTTAGAACTCGCTCCATATTGGGAAAGTATGCAACATTCACAACGTGACAAAGGTCAAATGATAACATTTCGAAAAACGAAGGCTAGTTTCAAACAATATCGTGGAGAATTGATTTGTAGTGGTAAGAAAACTTGTTTTTCTTATTTAACAGTATGTAGTAGTGTCTTCTGTCTTATTGTAGGTACATTTGATATGTGCCGAGAAGAATTTAACAAGATTCAAGAAGGTATGTTTGAACCTTCCGTTGAATGTTGGCATAACTTTTGTTTCATTTCAGAGGACGAAGAAGAATCCGAGGATGAACAAAATAAAGAGAATAATCTATCTCAGTTTCCTCGTCAATCAGCTAGTCAAGTTTTGGCCGATAAAGTTGCGCATGCTGCTGGTAAGGAAATAAGTCCGATTAGCTACAGTTTTGTGTTGCTGTCATACCTTGTTTTGTTTTAACTTTTTGTTCAGAAATAAAACAACGTGCTAGAAAACATGCTGATGTTGCAAAACAAGCACTTGAAGGATCTCCGTCTGCACCCGAGGATCATGGACGAAAAATTGCAACTGTCGTGGCACATATTGAAGGTAAACATACTTTGCGAGGTTTCTTCTTTACGTTTTTGAGTCAATATTGCTCTTTCTCTACCAGAATCATTACCTCAACGTAGCGACGATGATTTACCGCTAAGATATGCAGATATCAATGGTACAAACGGTGAAAAGATGGAGAAAAGTCAGCAGTGGTTATCTTTCTGTAGTATGCGTATTTAATGCCACATTTTCTTTTTAGGTGACGATGATCGAAGTCTAATTATTGACGAAGTTGTTGAGTTTGATGCCGACGATATCGAAAGTAATTCTAGCTTGTTATTAACAAAGAATGTGGAAAATGCTCCAACATTATCGTCGATCACTATAGAACAATCAAATGAAGTAAGAGTCAATGGAAGCCAACAGAAAGAAAGAGAAGGACAACCGATAGTCATGATATCGCCAATTGTTGACGTAGATACTCAGCAACAACAAGAAACAAAAGATGCTATAAAAACACCGAAAGTAAATAAAAGTAGTTTGATTATCGCCACTCCACGTTCAGGTAGTAGTCGAATTAGTTACTTTTTGGCAAAAGGATTCGTTGGTTATTTTATTTCAACTATTTTAGAAACGTCCGTTAGTGCTCAAACGGATGATGAATCGAGAGGAGCGCGTCTTGATTCTGGATTTGAAAAAATGAGTTCATTTCAAACACCTAATCGCAGTGGTACAATTAGTGAACAGCCGAGTGAACGTACGAGACCACCGGCAAAAATTTATTCAATAAGTAAACCTGGAAAGAAACTGAATTTTTCATTGCTTGTTGATGGTTCAGATGCCTCACCGTCGTCACATCCAATGAAACAATTGAAAGATCAATATAACGATCTGTATGTTGAACACTTACAACTACAAAACAAATACGGAAAACTATTAGATGATTATAATTTATTACGTGCAAATACGCTACGTAAGTATTGAGCTCTATTGTGAAGCACGTTATTTTCTGAATCTTTCCTTTCTTTAAAGCCGCTCCTAATGTTGAAGCTATAGAATGGATATGTGAATTACGTAACTTTTTTGTTCGTGAAAAAGTAACTCCAGAGCAGTTGGCTGAATTTGAACAGCTGCTCGGTTTAGACAGTGATTTACTGTTACATTCATGTCAGAAAAGAAGTATTACTAGTGCTGCTCGTGAAATATTTCGTCGAACTCATCCCGATAAAGAAAAGAGAAAAAAGATACAGCCAACGGATGTTTCAACGGTGTACAAAGATGCACTTGCCGGTAAGCAGAGCGATAGTAATCGGGCATTTTCTCGTTCGTCGGTGCGTACGGACAGAAATGCTGAGAATGAGCAACAAGAAAAACGAAAACAGATGAATAATGATG